CAAACAACAGTTTAGATACATCAAGCATTCTATTAGTCTGATGGACAAAGGTATAAGCTCAGTTTATTTAATCAATTGATAACAAATTTAGAACTGTGACAATTTATTAAATAGGTATAAGGGAATTAAGACAAAACACCCAAGCTCTGATAGAATCAAATCAAGGGGTGTTGATTCTGTTGCTACAAATTTGGAAAATGGTAGGTGTTAGTGTGGACAAATGGGAACATTTTAGCTAAGACAATTGACTATTATTATAGAATGAAGGCAAAAAAATCAATTGCATAAACCACAATTTAAATACGCCAAGCATTGTACGAATCTGGTGGACAAAAGTATAATTTCAGTCATTGCACAAATTATTAAATACCTATAACAGAATGAAACCAAAAGATCCAAACTTTAATAGAATCAAATCAAATACCCATAATAGAATCAAATCCTTCGCAAGTTTGTTGTACATAAGCAGAGATAATCTATAGACACCTATGGTCAAAACTAATACATGTATTGCCATTTATAGGTTAAGTTAATCTAATGAAGAAGTAAGCTGATGTAGTACGAAAATAAACTGTATTGCCATTTATGTCCCAACACCTACAAATCTTAGTAGAATAACACTTGGTTCCACTTGAAATTTGTAGCACAATAGCTACAACTCAAGAAATATAAAATGACGTAATTAGCCTATATGGTAGATCGCAGAATTAACGATAAGAGCTGATCAATAAGACCTGTGTTAATGGTGAGAAATTAATGTTCAAGCAAATACATAGGTTAAAATCAAGTTTGTAACAAATTATTAAAAATGGTATAATAGCAGTTGGCTATGAACAAATTTAAAAGAAAATTCCAAAAAAACGGATGAAATACCAAACTTTCATTCAAATCAAGAAACACAAATAAAACATTTTGGACAAAAATTTAACTACTTTGAGCATAATATTCAAGGACAATAAGTAAACAAAAAGTTTCGAACGAAAACAGGAAAAATTAAAAAAAAAACTTTTTCAACCTTGTCTAGCCTGCAAAGAACCTCCTTCTACTCACAGCCTCTTCTTGACTCTCTTGTACACTGTTAACATCTTGCAAAAACTGAAAAGGCACAAAAAGAAAATAAATGAAAATCACCACAACCTCAACTAAAAACACCAAATGAACTAATGCTTTCTAATTGAACACATTGTAGTGCATAAAACCCAAGAAAAATGTCAAATTATGACCAGATAAATCCTGCATATTTTCCTTATGACAGAATAGTAGGAAATAAAACAATCACTTTACCTATGGAAGCATTTTGTGGAAGGCATTGAAATGAATGGGATCTAAATCACACAGAGTTCTATCAATATCAAATAGCACTGCTTCAAGTGGAGCAAGTCCAGAGAGTGAACTTTTGCTGGTTCCAGAGACACATCAGAGAAGGAAAAAAAAAAGGCAATGAGGCATTAGTACAACAAAAGAATGAAACCAAAAAAATACAAATGTAACATTTGCACCACCTGTTTCTCTGTAATTGATCTTTCACATTTTCATTGCTCAATTCGTACACAACATGAGATGATACCAAACATATATATACTTTTGAATAGCTGCGATAATTTATTTAACTACTTTGGGCATAATATTCAGGGAGAATGAGTGAACAAAAAGGGTCTAACAAAAACAGGAAAAATAAAAAAAATAAAAACCATTTTCAACCTTGTCTAGCCTGCAAAGAACCACCTTCTACTCACAGCCTCCTCTTGACGCTCTCATACACTACTACCATCTTGCAAAAACTGAAAATCCACAAAATGAAAATCATCACAATCTCAGCTAAAAACATCAAATGAACACATTGTACTCCATCGTTAAACCCAATAAAAAGGCTACATAATGCGTAACCGCTATTTCTTAATCTGGGCTCTCCATTTACATATATTTCACAAATTTAAGTAAGAGAAAAGAACTGTAAATCTGTTTGAAAATGAAAAGAAAAGAAAACAAATCATCCCTGCATATAAGAATAAGAAAAGAAACAGTGCAACAAAAGGGAGTACATTCTATGAGCAAACAATATAGATCAAACTCTATTAGATGACGTACAGAGATAAATATACTCATCCATCAAATAGCTGTCATGCAATAAGAAACAATGGCTATTGTTCTTAGAGACTTTATCTTCCCTGTAGAACGTATTTCAAGCCGAAATGTGGCAAAGAATTTTAATGCAATTCCTCCAGATGTCACTTGTGGAGTACCATAGTATACACCAATCTTGCAAAATGAACGAATGATGCCATTAGTTTCTGGAAGTGAAAGAATTGTCATTAGGGGAAAATAACTCAAAATCATATGCATCTGAAAAATTAATGACTCAAATTCAGCTGCTTAGACCTAGGCACTCAAATCTCAATTACTGCAACGGACCCAAGTATGGGTCATCATAAATATCTGAAAACTTTAAGGCTCAAAGTCAGCTGCTAAGATATAGGCAGTCAATCTTAATCGTTTCAATGAATCCCAGTACATACCATCCATTCAGCTGCTAAGGTTTCACATCCAGCTTTCTCATAATGCACATTGAATTTGGGCTTCCATTCCCAAAAGCTACTACTTACTGGCGCACCCAATTAGCCTTTGGATTCATCTGGTAGACCAGGAATCAAAACTTTAGTTACTTGTTCCCCTGTTTCTGAAATACTTTCATCCTCTTCCTCTCCAATTATGTAGCCATCAGAGCTTCCACTTGATAAAATTGGATCAACATGTTTGAAGTTTTCACTGGTGTTTAATGACCTAAAACCTCCTTGGTGATTTAGTTGCTTCAAGAAAGGCTGATCTAAATTGTAACAGCTCAAAAACTTCCTTCTCCCATCAAATTTAGCACCAAAAATTCAGTTTTTTTTTCTTTCTAAAACCTGGGAGACTGAATTGATGTGAACTTGAGCTTTTCACAATCAATTTCCACCTTTAATTAACAGCATTACAGCATGGTGCAGAACTGTATGAGAGTACTTCCATACCCACAAACTGAATTCTGCAATGATCAATCAAAACAATGATTCAACAACAATTTGACTTTACCCTTTATTGCATGAGACTAATTGAGAAAATGAAGAAGTATAATTTGCAAATCACATGTTGTATGTAGCTTTCATGCTTCCAACTTTTCCCCAACACAAAAAAAAAAAGAGCACAAACTGATATGAAGAGAAGTTAATATCAATTACCAATCTTGAACTTCAGTGAACACCCAAAAACTGGTTAAGATATTTATTATAACTTGAGAAAAGAGACTAAACAAAATTAGCAACCAGTAGCTTTCCTGCACAACTCTAAAAGAAACACACATATTCATGGCAAAAGAAGAACTAATTTCTCAAATATATTAGTTGACTTC